AAACCAAGAGCTGCAAAAGCAAGAGAGAGTTTATTGAACGAATGTGCATTTGGGTGTCAGCAATACCGGGAAAGCTGCACCCCCTAGCAAAGGTTATAGGCTCTTTTTATAGGGAAAAATTGCAAATCATCATACATGCTTGGGGTACAAAGCGATTGATTACAAAGTGATTGATTTCAAAGTATGATTTCATATTAACGAGGTCACCTAGGTGTGACCTGGTTTTCTACAAAGGAAAAACCAACATACCCTGGAAAGTCCTTGATTGTCTGTTGGCCAGCCAGGTGTGACCCAAAGAGGGTTGTCTTGGCAATTGCCCCCTTCTAAACCATAGGATGTCCTTGGGGTTGTGGCCAACTTCCTTGTAATTGGCCAAGGCCTGTGGGAAACTTTTTCTCTCTGTGAACTAAAATCTTTTAAAACTTTTTCTCTCAGCAAACTAAAATCTTTCACACTCTTAATATCTATTCAAAACTGGAAACATGGCACAGGGTTGGCTCAGTGAAAAAAGTGCTTGCTGTACAATCCCAGTGACCTGAGTTCGATCCCCAGAACCTACAGTGGAGGAAGGCAACCAATCCCCAAAAGGTGTCCTCTGACTTCTACGTACAGCACCACAGTATGCTCATGCCCACACTCAAAACACTTAAAAATAATAATAATAATAATAATAATAAATCAAAGTTAAACTAGGGACAATCAAATGTCCATCAACTGGCAAGTGAATGAACAAAATATAGTGTATTTATGCAATGGGCTAGAACTCTGCAATTTAAAAGAACAAAGGCAGAGGACCTAGCTCAGGATGTAGCCCGGTGGTAGAACACTTGCTTAGCATATGTAAGGCCTGGGTTCAGTCACATTAATAAGCCATATTGGCAATATGCATAACAAAGTGGATGGATCTAAAATGTATTATGCTAAGTGAGAAAGAAGCTAAAAACAAAAAGATTATATGATTTCATTTGTATAAAATTTTTAGAAAAAGCAAAACCACAGTGACAGCGAAAGGTGGCAATCACCTGAACTGGAGTAGCGGTGGGTCTTGACCCAAAAGCAGGGTTAATGTCTCCTGAGGTAATGGTATGTTCCTGCCTGACTGTTGGTGGCTGCCTGATGGTTTAAAAGGGTGAAGTTTATGGCATATAAAATATACTCTAAAAGTTGTTTTAAAATGATATTCAGAATAGTTACTAGGCTAAGTCCACAGGCAAAAGTAGACAGGTATAAATATGCTGTCCCCCATGCTCACACTGTCCCCCATGCTGTCCCTGGACCCAGAGAGCTGCTGTGGGCCAGAGGGAAGAATGTTAGGTGAACTCCCAGCATGCTTTGAGGCCAGACTCATCCTTTTCCAGTTAGGTGGATGTGACGAAAATGACATAGACTCAGTGGTTCTCACCTAGCATCTGAAATGTGGAACTAAATCACCTATTTCATGAATTGTTAGAGACACAGAAAAGATCTGGTAGCCAAGACCCCCAGAATGTCACCTGGAGCACAAAGGGCATCCAGTGAGTATGGGATAGGTCCTCCTTATACTATGTAATTCTTTGATTGTAGCCATACTTCATGCTAGCAAAGGTAAGGCTCAGTGGTTTAAATGTTTGGGTTAGTGGGACTTTTCCTAGCATAGTTTCTGAAAGATGTTCCTTAGTAGAATTTTATATTAACTTACAATTACAGAATTGTAAGTTAGTCAATTCACAATTGACTCCCCATACTGATAGATTCTACACCTAAGAAGCCAACCAGTCAAAAATCATAAATACTTAAGGAGAAATCTATGAGGGTGCCCTACAGGCATTAACTGTCTTCTGTCCTTACTCCCTAGGGATACAGTGCAGCAACTATTTACACAGTTCTTACATGACATTAACACTATACATCACCTAGCAGGGGGTTGGAGGCTGTAGCTTAGCTGGTGGAATGTTTTCCAGTGTGCTCGAAGCCGGGCATTCAGTCCTGAGCCGTGTACAAACCGGGCATGGTGGTGCACACCTATAATCTCAGCACTCAAGACTGGGGGCAAGAGGACCGAGAAACATAAGCCAAGGCCATTCCCTGCCACAGAGCAAATTCAAGGCTACCTTGAGCTACATGAGATCTTATCTCAAGAAGGAGGAGAAATCATTGTTGTCATCAAGAAAGGGTTTGTAAGATTAAAAATACATCATAGACATAAACAGTTTTTGCAGGAAGGCTCCTGACCCTACCACCAGAGGCATTTTCTTTACGTCGTCTTTGAGAAAATACCATGCAGTGAGCACAAGGAGAACAGTATTTTCTCACTACCTGGTGACGAGTTCCACAAACCCGGGAAGCAGGACTGGCTGGGGACTGCTGCCACTGGCTGGAGCTGGGCAGCCACACCCTACAGTGTGCAAGGGCCACTTGCACATCCCATATCTCAAGAAATTAGATGATTTCAGTTTGCATTTCAAAATGGAAACTATGCCCCAAGTGTGTATAACCCAGAAGTTATTTGTATAAGTTAGCACAGAAATTATATAGGAAATAGTATTCTTATGTTTCTTGTTGTCATCTGTTTTCTTTTTTAAAACGAGTTTTGAAGCATCTGATAGCAGAAACTAAAACAGGTTACCATCTGAGAATTTCAAGGTATTTTTTTTAATATGCTATCAATTCCAGGTAGTGGGAGATAGTGCCAAGAATCAGGTATGAAAACAATGGACAGTGGTTAGATACTTACCTTTTTTTTTTTTTTTTTTTTTTACTTTAAATTTTACTTAAAATTATGGTCCCTGGAGAGATGACTCAGCAGATAAACTGCTTGCTTGGCAAGTGTGAGAATCTGAGTTCAGATCCCTAGCTCCCACATAAATGCCAGGTGGGTATGGCAGCTTGCCTGTCACACCCTACTCAGAAGTAGAGGACAGAGCTCCCAGATGGAGAAAGCTGGTTAGGTAGAGTTTCCATTTCAGTGAGCTCTGCACTCATCTGAGAGACCCTGCCTCAATAAATAGGCCAAGAGCCATGAAGGGAGACTCCCAGTGTCAACCTCAGATGTCTACATGCCCTTGCATACACACACACAGAGATGCCCATATGTGCAGATATGAGTACATATATATGCACACACCATACACACATATATTCATTTATATTCAAAGAATACAAAAGTATGCTTTCAAAACTTTAGAACCTTGTTTTAAATGTGGCACTGTGTTTACCTTAGATACTGCAGCTCAGCCCCTTTGAAAAGTCAAAAGTATCTGCGCATTTTGGTTGCTTTTAAATGTACAAAGATCTCAAGATGCTTCTCATTTGGTAATACAGAAAAAAATAAGAAATTTCACAGTCACATTGCTGCCTAGCTTTCCATTTCTGAATACTTCCCAGTGGAGCTGGAGAGCTGGGACACAGACACTGATACAGGAGGCAGCCCAGGTGTATCCCTCAGGGGTCTTGAGAGCTGTGGGTCTGAATGGTGCAAACACCCATGACCATGTCCCTCTCTCTACTCTCGCCCCACCCAGCAAGCACCTGTCCAGCTGATGGTGACTGATAGTAATGAGTTCTAATCCGGGTGCCACTAGGTAGATGGGCCCTACAGGGTGCCACAATGCCTCTGCACATCTCCTGGATCCAGTCCCTGTTTACAAGCTTTCCACCGTCTAGTCTCCAGGCAGTCTAATTCTGTTCCCCAGCCACATCCCAGTTAGTTCTGGGTCTGACTTGTATGGGGTCTCTTCTGTGACCAACCGCTGTGACCACCACGTCGGCTCACTACATGGGATATGAGGGGGAGGGGAGTCAGCTCTCCTGACTCTGACCTGGACTGGAGAAACCTGGGAAAACTTCCCAGAGAGAGGCAAGAGCCTACACCTGCTGGCATTTTCCTCCCAATGTGTGCTGTGCTTTCCTAACCCAAGAAACCAAATAAAGGGTCTGCTGCCCTTCACACTTACTAACTGGGTTCAGACTCATCCTGGGCACTTCTTAAACTGCCAATGGAAACTATGTGGACTTCTATAAAATGTAGTATAGTGTCAATGGTTCCTGTGTTCAAACTCAGCCCAATCTGTTTTACGCCAAGTCAATTACCTGGGGAGGAATCAAGTAACCCAGAGGGAGTGATGTGACTTTAGGGTAAGCCAAGTTCTTTCAGCACTCCCTGACGCCATAATGGGTGAGCCTGGTGACCTTATGACTCTTGGGTGAACCACAACTCACAGTTCGTAGTTAACTCATGGTTTGCTTTAAACACACAAAAAATAAAACCCTCATAGTAAACTGTCCATCACTAAACAGGCATAGTCCTGGAGGCTGAAGCTGGAGGATCATAAAGTTGAGGCCAGACTGGACTACCTGAGACCCTAGGGAACATTTTTTATGTTAATGAATCAATTTAATCTATCTACTTTGATATGTCCACTTTTTTAATTTTATGTTTTGCTTCATGTGCACCACATATGTGTCTAGTGCCCAAGGGGGCCAAAAGAGGACGTTGGATCCCCTTGGACTAGAATTGCAGATGGTTGTAAGCTACCATTTGGATGCTGAGAGTCAAACCCAGGGCCCTCTGTAAAAACAACAAATGCTCTTAACCACTGAACCATCTCTCCATCCTTCCATTCTGATCTTACCTCACATAAAAAAGTCAAAAGACAGCTGCTAAAATGGACCTTAGACTAGCCATGTCTTCCATTGCCAAGGTGGCCGCTTAACTCTCAAGAGCACTGAACGCTAAGAACCATACAATGGTTCTTGTTTTATAATTAATGACTGGTACTAGTTTTTGACTTACAGGTTTCATCCCGATGAGCTGTGTGATCAGTAGGGAGGTTCCATAGCTTGCATGAGTGGTGAGAGCATAGTTGCCTGGCTTTCATCATGCTGCACCGTCACTGCACATGACAGTACAGCAGTAAAAGAATCCCTACCCTCCTTGCAGCTTCTGTCTTGCAGTTTCTTTTCACTTTTCACTTTGTGAAATATCCTGACGTGTGTTTTCTTGTCCCTCTTCCCAACCTTAGGAGTTCTTTGATCACGTGAAGAAGCTGTGGGATGATGAGGGGGTGAAGGCCTGCTTTGAGAGATCCAACGAGTACCAGCTGATCGACTGTGCACAATAGTAAGTTGCTTCCCTGGGCAGGCCTCTGCCAAGTGCGATTGCATTCTTGACTGTGCTGCCCTCCCTGTGGCCTGGGGCTTCCTAACGCAGAGAGCAAGTGTAGCTTTTGACTCCAGAAGTTAACTTTCTGAAGGAGGTGTGTTCAGTAACAGTGTTTCACAGAAGAATCAAGATAGCTTTCACTCACTTTGTCCTGATCAATACAGTTCTCCTTCTCTATTAATTCTACATAGACATAACAGCATATTTGTGGACTATAATGTACCTAAATACTCAGTGGTATTAAATCTTAATTCTGAAACAAGCCTCCACAGGTTAATTTTTAATATCAAAATTTGTAGTACTGGAGAGATGGCTCAGTGGCTAAGAGAACTGGGAACTGGTCCAGAAGACCTGAGCTTAGCTCCCAGCACCCAGATGGCAGCTCACAACTGCCTGTAACTCCAGCTCCAGAGGGTCTGATGCCATCTGCTGCCCTCCTCAAGCACCTGCACGTACATGTGCAGAGATACACACACACACACACACACACACACACACACACACACACGCACGCACACACACCTAATTTAAAAGAAAATAAAGCCTGTTTCCTGTTGGTTCCCTGGGCCTACTGCACTTTGGAATTTGGCAGAATGAAGCTAATACTGGTCTTAGGCAGGTTCTTTCTCCTCCTTTTTCTGCTGTATTGGAATGCTCTGGACTTGAACCTGCAGTGACTTCAGCATGCTCTGATTGGCTAAAAGTGGAAACGAAAATGGACTCTGATTGTGAGGCAGAAGTGAGAGTTGACCACATAACCCTTCTCACACAACTGCCCTGTAACCAGGGTACTGAGCTTCAGTAATGACTTTCTCATCCTGCTATTTCCTGTGGGATCAATAAATTTGTGTTCCAGGAAGATGATGTTTTCACATTGTCTGAGATCAAGCACAGACCAGTATTGAGTCTCACCCATAGATTCAGGGCAGTTTGCTTTGTGAAGAGGCCTAAACTATCTTCTCGGAAGCCTTTTGAAAAAAACAAGTGTGATATGCATACCTTTGGTGGTGGCTCTCAAGTAATAGGACAGCAGCCATCAGTTTCCTTGCAAAGTAAAAAAATATGAATGTATAATCCCTGAATTAAGACCCGCCCTTTGCTCTCTAAGATACCGAAGCAAGTGGCCATAGTAGCCTGGGACTCAGTTTCAACCATACTGTTTGTTCCGTCCCTTTTGTGACCAGTAATGACATCGGTTACCTGTTTAGATACCTTCTGGGATTTGGAATAGTACAGCTCTCTAGTATCACATTTAAACATGTTAATGAGTTAGTTCTAAGTGTGATTGTCTCTGGAACTTTCTCTGTGAAGGTCAAGCTCACAATAAAGCTGTTGTTGTATGAGGAAAAATAAAATAATTGTTTTCAGAAATGTGATCAAGGCCTGGCTCCTAGAGCATGTGGCCATCCTTGTGTTTATTAGAAGGTTGAGGCAGGAGGATCACGAGTTTTAGGTCTACCTGTGTAACATAACGTCTGTTAGCCCACATACTAAAGCAGAGAATGCCAGCAGCTGGGATCCCTAGCATAGCTTGTGATTGCAGTGAAACTCATGTAGGCTTGCACTAGAAGTTAGTATGAAGTATGTGTTTTGTCATCCCGTGTCAGTGTCCCTGGAGACATGGTATTGCCATTCCTTGTCACATAAGGAATTGTTTTTTCTTTTTTTCTGATTTTTAGAAACAGGGTTCCTCTGTATATCCCTGGCTATCCAGCAATTTGCTCTATATAGACCAGGCTGGCCTCAAACTCACAGAGATCCATCAGCCTCTGCCTCTCAAGTGCTAGGGAAAAAAGGTGTGTACCACTATCACCCAGGCAGAATTTAAAATAGAAATCTAACTCTTGTGTCAGTAGGGTGGAGAACTAATGATTTAGCTTCCAATAGAATGTGCAAAAATAAATCTTTTTTTTTCTAAGTGACACAAGTTTGGCAGTAGGCAGACCGGGATTCGGATGTTTGTAACAGCTCTGCCACCACCTGCTACATGAGACTTGGGGCAAATATTTCAGTGGGGGGAAAAAAACAGTGGCACCTAGTCCCATGGAGTTGTGATAGGATAAAGAATAGATACCCAAAGATCTCAGAATAGTGCCTGGCATACAGTGGGCTCCTTGATAAGTATTATTCTTGCTAGTATGTGACTGATACCCCGGAGCCCAGAGAGGTAGACTGAGGCAGCCAGAATCAGTTTCCCAATAATAAACATGATCACAGGAGGAGATTTTTTATTTCTTTCTTGACTTCTGTCCATGCAAACTACAGAAAGCCATGAATAAAAAGTGCCTTGTGAACAAGGCTTCTGGCCTCAGACTGAGTAAGACCCCTTTCAGGCTTGTTAGGAATAACAAGCTACTTTTATTAACCTCACACCTAGCCACATCACACCTGACTCTTCACAACTCCCCCCTGCATCACCATCTTCTCCATCTTAACTTGTGAGAATCACAATAGCTCAATTTAGTCTCCTAACAATGATCTTGCTTCACTTCTGTGCTCAGGTTCTGGGACTCAGGGAATAGAGAAGCAGTTCCCAACATGTGGGTAGAGACCCCTGGGAGATCTGGGAGGGAGTCAAATGACCCTCTCACAGGGGTCACCTAAGACCATCAGGAAACACAGATATTTACATTATGATTCATAACAGTAGCAAATTTACAGTTATGAAGTAGCAACAAAAACATTTTATGGTTTGCGGGGGGTGTGGGGGCATGTCACCACAGCATGAGGAACTGTATTAAAGGGTCACAGCATTAGGGAGGTTGAAAACCACTGGAATAGAGTTTTCAGAGGAAAGGTAATACTCCATAAATGTTTTTACAGCAATATATAGCTGCCAGAGTTTTTTAAATTGCTAAGTAAATGTAAGAAAAATGTAAGCTATGACCATCTCCCATCCCTGTCACTTCCTAAAAGAAAGGACACACAGGCATCACATTGGCAGAGGGATGGGACCATGATGCTGTGCTGTGCTCATGAGGCTTAGCCCTTCTCCAAGGAATGGTCCTGTTCGTATCGGTACACCTAGCTCTCCGTTGGGCATGTCCGTGGGAAGGAAGCCTCTGGCAGTGATGTTGCTGATAACATGGACATGCTCTGAGAAGTGTGTCCTTAGAGAGATTGTTTCATTTCTATACATACACCTTAGAGCATGCATGCTATGGAGACCTGGACTGCATAGCTTTTGGACACAAGGCTACTAGGTAGACTGATGGAGACACATATAAATGTTGACCAACCTACTCTTTCTAGAAATTTGATGAATAAAACAACACAAGATTGAGTCAACCACAAAAAAAAAAGAGAGAGACAAAGTAGGGACTGGAAGATGGCTCTGAGGTTAAGAGTGCTTCCTGCTATTCCAGAGAACAGGAATGCAGTTCCCAGCACCCAGGTGGCCCATACCCACCTGAAACTACAGATCCAGGGTATCTAGTGCCCTCTGATGGCCTCAGCAGACACCCACACATACATGGCATACACACAGAGTGAGAGAGAGAGAGAGAGAGAGAGAGAGAGAGAGAGAGAAAGAGAGAGAGAGAGAGAGAGAGGAGACTCATACATATACACACAAAAATTTTATCTTATTTTTAAAAAGAAACACCAGATGTGTAACGCAGCTGCTGTCAAAACCCAGCATACTATCTCGTGGTCCACCCTTTTTTCCATAAGTAGGAGGACCATACTCTGAAATCACAATAGGAAGTCCAGTATGAACACAGTAGATACTACACTGATAACACAGTCATTCCCTCACTATGTTGAGTATGAGGTGCTGAATGTGAGTCATGGCCGGGCTTTCATCTGACAAGCAGCTGAGTGTGTGCTACATGCCAGCATCTCTACAAGTGCTAAGAAATGCACTGGACTGCATCCCAACAGCCATAAAGATGGGAAGCAGGATTGTTCCACTCCATGTAGTCTCAGAAACCACCAAAGTCTAATTTCAGTCCTGAGAATATGGAGGTTTCACATACAACACAGGATTGTCACTGAATTAGCAAAGCAAGAACCCCACATTCCATGTGCTACTGATTGGTGATCCTGACCCTTGGCCCTTCACAAGTCCATACCACACCCTAGATTCTCACACAGCACAGCTGCTTCTTATAGATTCCCCGGGATCTTGATGTAGTTCCTTTTTACCTCATCTAGACTGCTAGGAGAAGATATGACTAATATCGGGTGACTCTGAGTCACTGTGCTACGCAGCCTGGCAGTTCTGCACTTTGAGCCCTGGTGCTCACTTAGGAGTCATCTTTCTGTGCCTAGCTCTCAGAACCATCAGGGATGAGATCCTCAGTGAAGCTGAAATTCTCTTAGGGTCTCAGGAGACTGATTTGCCCACTAATATCTAAGAAGAAACCAGTCCTCGTGGTGCCAGCTTGTAATCCCAGCTACTCAGGAGAATTACAAACATACATCCATACAAACATACAAACAAGGTTTCATAGCAACTTTATCCATAATAGCCAAAATCAGAAACAACCTAAGTGCCCATCAACATGTGATGTTCAGTGTCCTTGCCAGGGAATGTATTCAGCCACAGAAGAAAAAGGCAGCACTAATGCACAAATAGGAAACTGACAGACCTAGAAGACACATGCTAAATGATGGAAGCCAAACCCAAAGGGTCACAAATAAATGGTCTGTGCATATAAAATGCCTATGAATAGGGAAGAGATGGCTCAGAGGTTAAGAGCACTGGCTGCTCTTCCAGACGTCTTGAGTTCAATTCCCACCAACCACATAGTAGCTCAAGACCATCTATAATGAGATCTGGTGCACTCTTCTGGCATGCAAGGATATATACAGGCAGAGCACAGTATACATAATTAAGGATAGATAGATATCTAGATAGATAGATAGATAGATAGATAGATAGATAGATAGATAGATAGATAGATCTTTTTTTAAAATGCCTATGAATGACAAATCCATAGAGGCAAAGGTAGGTT